GGGGAATAGTGAAGCCAACATACTGCCAGTATGTTGCCAGTTTAATGTATCACGACAAGTACTCATGTCAGCTTTGAATGTCAGGGCCTTCAAAAACATTGCCTTTTACTGCTACTCAGCCATTCAGAGATGACAAATTCAAGAATGGGGCATTTTAAATGGGGGGGGGGTCCTGAAAAGTGGTACCATACTTGAATTAGAGCATGGACACCTGTGAACACTACTTTTGAAAAAGATCCCTAAATGTGTACATACATTTGGAATAAATAACCCATTCCAAGTACGAGAACATAAAAAGCAAACCCCATTTGAGATTGGATTCCCCAGAATTCTGAACAACGTATTGCAGGGGTATAGATTCACCTGGAGAGAAACGCTGGCAAGTTTGGGTAGACTCTCAAAAGTTCAGACATGGAGATAGAAATACATTTTTTGAGTTTATATTATGCCACTCCAGAGATTGAATTATTTAATCAGGTTTCCAGTCTGGGATGTGTAGTGTATTACTGGTATACAACATTTCTTATTGAAATTAAACAAAATCAGTCATTACTGTGCAGCCACCTTCCAACTCATCCATGTGTGAGAATGGATCATGTTAAAACCTGCGTAATTTTGGGCTGAATCAATTACAATTTTCACATTCTTGTGTCAATTAGCCGAGTAGTATGCACAGAATGAAACAAACGTACTTGACATGAACACACATACAACAAAGTTACTGCAGCTAACCATGTAATCATTTTTTTTATTTGTTGAAAACAGTCAGAATTGTTAAAATGCTATTTATAATTACATTTCTGACAGCAATATTTGGTGAATTGATCTGTAACGATAGGTTCTATCACATCAAGTATTTGATGTCCTACTTAACACACGATATCTATGATAAAACTTACATCGCACTTTGAAGAAATGAATTCGACAAACCCACATCTGCATTTAAAAATTATTTATATAAAAACGTGTAGTGTTGACCCTGACAATAGAGACAATATGAATACAATTGTATAGTTGTTATTAACGAAAAATACCATAGTTATCTTCAGAAAATATTTCTTACACCAACAGTTAAACAGCCCCTGTGACTGTGTCCCAAACTCTGAACACCAAGGCAGCCACTTTTCACAATATGAACCTGCACAATTTTTTCCAAATTGTGGAGTCATCGTCGAGGACATCGCTACGATGCAGGATGTTACGCACACTAAATGTTCAATATATATTCAAGTCAGACTTATTTCTGTAAGTCAAATCACTTTGTTCTCATTAATTGTCCTAGGACTTTTATATAAGTCAATAATGAAACACTAATCAAGTTTACTGTCTTAAGAAAAAACAACAAAGACTGGATTTGACTCGGAGCTTGCAGCACACCAGGCAATACGACAGAAAATCTGCCCATGGAACATGTTTTGAGTTAAGATCATGAATATTCATATGTTGATTATCATGCAGTTCTTGCTAGAATTTTCCTACACAGATTTTATATTCATTTTACAATAATTTTATAACATTAAGGCGGATACACTTCG